TACACCCTTTTGCACATCCTCGACAGTGAAAATAACAAATAACAAGTTTTACAGTTTAGAGTAAAATTCCAATCATTTATATTTCACCTCTGTAATATTCTGGATATTGATAATTGGAGCTTTTTGTATATATTAGAGCTATTTCTTATATTTTGTAAACTTTGTAATATATTGTATTATTTAATTTAGTTCAGTCTGTTACTGTTGTTGTCTTGGAGCAACTGTAACCACATAATTTCCTTAGGGATTAATAAAGTAATCTGACACTAATTTCAGCAGAGTAATGCATCTTGCTACAAACTAAAAATGGTCCAGGAATGGTTTGAGGTTCACAATAATGAGTTTGAGGTGTTGACTCAAACTCATTTTTTTAGTTAAGCATCTGTGAGCATCTGTGGGATGTGCTGGAAAACAAGTCCTTCCATGGACATTCATGTCGAAATATATGCGAAATATATGAAACTATCTAATCTCTACGCCTGGTACTGCTTGAATCCACAGCACTCCCTCCTTCCTCTTACTCAAACTGAACAGTTTTGCAATACAAAATCCTGTCAGAGTGCTCTGCAAACCCAAGTTTTAGCATGCATGTTTTACTACAAAGCAAGGGAGGGCGTGAGTGGAAAGTAGGAAACAGAACATGATCTTGCTCAGCAGGAATTTACTCTTAACAAGCACCAGAGAACAGTGGAGAAAACAATTCTACATACAGTGGAAAGTCATCAGGTATGTGTGCACTAAAAAGTGTTTAGTTTAGTGCTTAATTTACCAGCTATATCATATGAAGAGTATCAAGTGATTACTTCACTAGTACTTTATAAGTTTATGTTAAGAAAAGTATTGTTACATTTCTTCCATGCTGATTGCTGACATGTCACAGTGAAATGTTTATAAGTGGGTAGATCATGATACAAAGCAAAAGCATGTAGTGAGGTTAATGTGTTAAGTTACTGCTCAGTGTGGACAACAGTACTGTGAGCTCAGAACATCACACTGTAACTTTAAGATGTCCAACTAGGGCTGCTGGAGTCTCCCGTTTACTTTGGATAAAGGCTGCACAGAAGAATTACTGAGGTATCTGGCCCAATCAGCTGTACTGAAATTATGTTAGAACACAAATAAATTATTGCTGGTTTAAAGGGGCAAAACTATGCAACCATTACTTGGTCTGTAAAGCAGTTTACAACAAACCTGAACAAGCTTAGAGGAACTGGGTAGCTTACTCAGGATAAATAACTGGACAACTGGTCCCCCAGTGCCTTTTTACTTCCTTCCACAGGAAAGACTAAGAAGTTCTATTGTATGACATCTTGATTCTTTACTCCACACCCTGTGTTTCCTGCAGTACAGTACAGTACAATACAGCCTTTTTGTGAGTTGCTAACACAAGTTTACTCTTCTTGCTTCAGGTATGTGCTTTTCAATCTTTCCAACATTTAAAATTTTAAACTTGTTTCTGGATTGTGTAAAGTGTTAAAGAATTTTTTTCTGTCCACATTTGATCCTGCAGTGCTTTCTTTCAGAAGAAGAAGAGAACAAAAATGGGGTGCAGAAGAAAAGTGCTTCTTGCTGCAATAATTTTCATGCTTGTCTGCTATAAAGTAAGAATTGTGTTTAAAAAAAATATTCGAAGGTTAGAAAAATTATACATTTAAAAATGTCTTTTTAAATGTGATACACCTCACTTAAAGGTGGCCGCAAAGGATACAAGATTACTGGATGTCCAAAAGACCACAGATGTTGTAGATGACCAGTACAAAGGATGTCGTGAAGAGGCCATGAAGAAGTTCATCGAGTCAGACGTGTTAAAAAAAGAACTAAGCAACAGTGAAGGATTTCAGAAAGCGTGGAATAAAAGTAACGAGTGTTCAAAGCAGATCCCTGGAGGAAGAAAAGAGCATACTGCTGCACTTTCAGTCTATCTTAAAGGAGACCAGCCTTTCATACTAGCACTGAACAAAGCAATAGAGACAATGGGTGGAAATGTTAGCATCTATAAAAACCGATTCCAATTCAAGTCTCTTCATTTCCTGCTGATGGACTCCATGAGGCTGCTGAAGCCAAAGGAGTGCAAGAACTTTTATGTTTTTCGAGATGGTAAAAACAAACCACAGAAAGGCTCCACAGTGAGATTTACAAGTTTCACTTTAGCTTATTCAAACTATGAAGAGCTAAAGAGACTTGAAGATGTCAATGAGAATACTATTTTACATCTCACTTCTTGCTTCTTTGTCAACCTGAAAGACTATGTGTGCGGTCAAGAACAGGATGAAATACTCTTATCTCCAGCAGAGGTTTTCACTGTGCAACGAGTGAAAACAAAAACTACATCGGATGGTGACGAATACCTTGAGATTGTTTTAAACCACTCAGGACTGAACAGCTCACACAACTGTTACATGTTTTCACGGTAAGATTCATATTCTCTCAATTAAAGTGAAATATTTTTCATATTAATTTCACAAATTTTGATCTTGGAACTGCAGTGTGGTGTTAAAGCTATAAATGTTTACCATTTAAAGCACATGAAAACATTTCGTATGTCCAGCTACTTAAAAAATGCATATGTATCTCAAATAAATTATAAATTTCAACATTTTCTGAATCTCAGAGGTTTTACCATCTGGAAATGTATCATGTTCGTGTTTTAGTAACTAAAAAAAAGATTTTACAGTAATCCCCCTCTCTGCTTTGTTTCCATGTCTTCAGGTCTCCTCCAGCTGCTGTCTCCACCCTGTGGCTTGTATCAGTGCTTGCGGCCTCATCTTTGTTTTCTTTAACTGCTTAGTAAGAACAGTTTCCTGAGTGTTATCATCTACAGTACTGCTTTGTTTATTCATTTTACAATTTGTTGGCACTTTATTTGGCAGATTGTAGTATCTATCAAATAAAGTTTTAAAGTAGGCTGCCAAAATATTATCAAATATTCTTTTCTGCTTGTCATATGTTATGAATTACAGACCCAATTCACATATATTATTTATGCATGTGTTTATTATTTCTTGTACTTGTGTACTTTAAAAGAATGAAAACAAATGAGAGATGGGAATTACTTGCAGCTGTTCCAGGATAAATTGAGTCTGAGTATTGTGGAGCTTTAACTCCTCACAGCAGGAGTGTTTCCAGGATTTTTTTAATGGGCTGTCATGAGAGGACTAAAAACAAGGCAGAGTGGCACATAGAAAATCCAAATAATTGAGAAATTTAGTTTTTAGGTTCAGAAAATTGGTGTAGACCATGCTGGGTTGTCACATGTAAATAACCTGTGAGTCTGACGGATGAACTGAGTCTTTGAACCAAAAAATAGAATTTAGAATCTTAGGTATCAGTTTTCTCTCTTTCTTTAATTAATCTGTGAATTCATCCATTTTTACATTTTTGTCAGTGAACATTTTCTAAGTTGAATATTGTTTACAACTTCCTTCAGTGTGTATATATCTGTAAATTACTAGCTCACAAGTTTTAGAATGCTTTTTTTAGTCGTTACAGTCAGCAATGCTCTCCCTCTCAAACTGCTTGTAAAGACACCACGCCTCAAGGATTCCTTCTGTTTCCCTATCAAATAAACAACATGCAAAAATCAAAAGGCTTTATAACAAATTGAATGTGATCACACAAACATTTTACCTACAATTAACGATTTTTTTTGTTTTGTTTTTACAAATATACACATTAAGTCCTACTTCCCCAAATTAAACACCATAATACGTCACTCACCCAGTAGCCGGACAATAATTACTGTCTAAATGTAACACTCATCATTAGACTTCACATTAATGACACACACAAACACACATTCACACTGTAAAGGCTAAATATGTCTTTTTTTTTGTATTCATGTGTGAGTCAGCAGCAAAATATTTAAATATTATAATACATATTATTATTATTAACAAATTACTTACATTAATACCTACATACTGTTAGAACACCTATATACAGAAAAACCACACAGTTCACACGGCACATGCTTCCTGCAACTACATCAGCAAGCACTTGTGAATTAACATGTACAAACATGAAACACAGGTAACATCTGAACACCTCCAAAAACAGTGTCACTAAAACTGATTTAAAGACATTAAAGTCAGTAAAGCAACATTACTTTTGATGCTGAAGTTGATCAGAGCCACTGAGATCTACAATGATGTCAAATGTGTTAATGTAATCAAAACCAACAAGAGAAAATGAATTTTTTTTAGACCTTTTATAAAAAGTTCTCACTTTTTACCTCTGGGTACTCAGTAATGGAAATATTTAAAATTCTTTGTTATGCATTTATGAGAAATTAAATGTAGTCACAGTTGTATGGTGTGATTTAGTGCCTTCCCCCACCCCCCAAAAAAGGAAAGAAAAAAAAAACACCACATTTGTAATTTCTCACATGATCACATAATTCAATTTATACACATACGCCCACAACATTCATGTAGACAAAGCAACGAAAAATATGAAGTTTTGACATTTTATTAACAAAAATATATTCAGAAACATGTCATAATAAAAAAAAATGAAACTATTAAACATTTTAATGACTGGAAGGCAGTAATAGTAAAGCAAAACATTTCATAGTTATATTTATTCTAAAATTAGAATAATCCACAAGAGTCTTCATCAAAAAAATATATGTCTATGATGTATGTGTGTTCAGGATTAATGCACCATCGCTTCCTTTGTCAGCTGTCAGGCACAATAAATGGCCCAAATCAACAGCCAGGGCTTTACAACTACATACCTGTTTTTCTTTTTGTTGGTTTGTTTTTAACCACCAGCATAGAGGCTGTCATTCTTCTCGTTCTGCGCGCAATTTTAGTCCTTCATAATAAGTAAGTAAAGATTATTTGTAGAGCACTTTTCACAGGCATTAAATTCACAAATCGATGTACAACAATTAAACAAAATTAATTACAAGAGAAGCATTTTAAAACAGAATCAAAATAAATAAAAACACACATAAAAAAAATTCATCAGAAGGCCTGATTAAATAAAAATGTTTTTCAATTTTGTTGTTTTTTTTTTCTTTTTAAAAAGACCTCACAGAGTCTGCTAAACAAAGCCAGAGTGTTAAACTGTTTCAGAGACCCTTGGTGCCACAGACTGAAAAGCTATCTTCCCCCCTGGTCTCTTTTCTTGTACGAGGGGCAACTAACAGACTTTGAGTCATAGCTGGACTGGCCATCGGGCATACCGGGCACTTGCCCGGTGGGCCGCTGGTGATTTTTTGTTTTTAATGGGCCGATAGATTTTTTTTTTTTTATATAGGAAGGGTATATATAATGAAAGGTGTTGGATTGGCCAGTTGGTCATGATCGACTTTGGGCTGGACCAATTACAGCCGAGGAGGCCGGATGGACCCTCCCCCTTGTTTAGCAATCACGTGGCTTTCACGCATTGCATGCCGGGAACTCGTGGCAAAACAATCCAAGTACCGCATCAAATGCAAGCATTTGCAGCACCGCAAAACGTTCATTCTCCGGTTCCAATACCTTCTTTTTTTTCTTTGCCGCACAAAAAAGGAATGTACAAAACAAAAGGAGAACAATGCCGGTCCGTACAAAGACAGACTTGACGAAAAGACAAAGAAAAGATACGAGGAAAAATCAAAGGAGTGAAAGGGTCAGACCCTTACGAGCACACAGAGTGGACAAAAGACGTCAGCGTGCTGCCCAACTTTCACCACGCTCAGATTTATAATTATACGGTTCTTGGAGTGAGTGCATACACTCATGAAGTTTAGTAACTTCAGGTCACTGCAACAAGCCCAGGTACAGTTTGCCGACGGATGGGTACAGGACCTTGAAATGCACCGTGTAGAACGAAAGACCATCGTACGAACAAAGGTAAGTTTACCAGTCTCACAAATCGTCGTCATAAATACACATTCGTTAACCGTTTATTAATATAACCTTTGAGCTCAAGGGTAATTAATTAGTAGTGGAAATAATCTCTGGTAGCATCACAGAAATGTAGCAGTGACAATAATATTGTATGCTGTAATCGTACTGGACAATTAGTGATACAAAACAACTGTTTTATCCTGTGAATAAAAGTATATGTTTTTGTCAATGTACCATGGTAATAACAGAAGCGAAGCGCAATATTGTGTCAGGACAATTTACTATTTATGCACAATAAACAAAGGAGCATAGCGCGACAATTTCTGTTCAGCGCGAGACTTGCTTGTAACCTATATCACCAATTATGTTATAAAAATGACGTATTAACGACTACAAAACTCTGACCTTTGTGGGAATGCTTGGAGCAGACTAACATGTGAGCTGGAGTGTTCTGGGACGTTATATTCGGCATATCCAGACCATCCGTCTGCTCTTACTTCGGAAACATGGCTTAAAAAATTTCTCTTCAACAACGTAATCCGATAAAAAAAAACGATCTCTCTACCCGTCGGCTTCCCGTGGCTGTCATGCCACCGGCTATTGCAGTTAATAATACAACAGCTTCTTGACATTTTTTGTGTTTCTTTTTATCGCTGTGTAACTGAGTTCAATTGAAAGCCTGCATGCGCTAGTACCTCTTGCCACAAGTTCCCAGAATCCTTTGCGGTTTTACCCCTGAATGACGTCACATTTTCAATCTTTATCCTGGTGGCCCGGTCTCTAGTCAAAATGCCCGGGCCGATTTTTTGTCCCAGTCCAGCCTTGCTTTGAGTTTGTGAGTGAAAAAAAAAAAATCCACAGGAAAAAAAAATGAAGCAATCAGTTCAAAATAATGTAAATGAAATAAATAATCCACAAATAAATAATTCACGTTTAGCTGGAGTGCGCTCATTGGATCAAAAATACCCTAACTATCTTTATTATTCAGCTCAGAGTTGGGTTTTGACCTGTTTCCACGAGTGCTCTTGTCTTTGCTCAGGATGCTGGTGCACACGCTGCTCTGGTGACACGGTCGAAGTCTTGTGCTTTGGAGCTCCAGCTCATCGTAGCTCGACACCCGGACAAAAGGACACCAGCGGAAAACCTGCTTGAAACCAGCTCGAAACCTGCAGCCAACGAAACGCTGACATGCAGTTATGCTCTGATTAGTGTTGGTGAGGTGATGACTGACTTGGACTCACCTGCTATTGAGGCAGCAGTAGATGATGGGATTGTACATGGTGGAGCTCATTGCAAGCCACAGCACTGACAGGTAAACCTGCTGGATGTACTTCCACTTGCTCAGACGCTTGTTGAGACCCGTCGCGATGAAGTAGACATGATACGGCAGCCAGCAGAGGGCGAAGGTAACCACTACAATAATCATCATCTTCACCACCTGCAGGACACAAGCCATCAGCAGGAGGGCAAATCAGTAGGCGGGCCCCCGCCCCCAGAAGACATTCTGACATTTCACAGGAAAGCGGAAAAGGAGAGGCACCAGTAATAAAATGAATGATGGCTTAATTCCGTTCAGCTGCTTCTATTTTTGGGTGCTGGTATTTTGCATGCTGGCTCGCTGCCACACTGTCGTGTCTCGCTGGGGCACTTGAAAAGAACAGAGCCTTCATTAGTGTCAGGAGTGACACGTGATTTTCCTGCTGTCAAAGTGCTGCAAACGGGTCTGTTTTACAGCACAGTGATTTTTGACAGACAGCCTTCTTCAGTGTGCAAAATGGCAAATGTAACATAAGTAACTGCGAGAAAATGTGCTGGTATAACATAATAACACAAAATCCTTGTCTGGGGAATTATGAGATAAACTCAGATGTGGCATCTGAGACAATACAACATGGGAAAAAATAATCAGAAGTTTTGCAGCAGGCTGGTAGCATCACAAAAAAACTACTAAAAAATGTTTTAAAAAAATATGTACAAATGACTATATATCATAATCCGAACCATGAGTAGAAACAGGAATAAATTATTCTTTCCAGCTTTAGTTTCTTAAAGGTACAGTAAAGGTGTCTTTAAATCACGGTGGTCTGGCAAATCTAAAGCAAATATTTGATTGCACAGGATTTTATTATATATGGGGATGTACCAGTGCAGTGAAGGATAGATGCATGAAAACTGGAGCTGAGAATATCTGATGTGCTGAAGGAAACCAAGACATCGAATCTTTTTAACAATAGTCTTTGCATAAATGATAGAACACTGACACAAGCCCTTCAACTGGAAAATTACCAGTTATTATTATTATTAATACCAAATGGTTCCAATTGGTATCAGTCAGTGAGGTTTTGATTAGGAGGAATTCCACTAGTGCTGAATGTGTTTTTTTTATGTAAGCTCTGTAGCTTGGGAACGCCTTGGGGAAGAGATTGAGACCATTTAAGTTGTATAACTCCAAAGATGTAAGCGTGCAGCAGAAACTCAAATGGATGTGGGTAATTTGTTTTCTTTGTTTTCGTTCTGGTGTGTGTATGACCTCCTGCCTTGTTTGTGTATGTCTTGTCTTTTACCCCAGAATGGCTCTAATGAGAATGAAAATAAAGACTAAAGAAAGAAGTAAGCTGCTTTATTTGTCTTCCTCACTAGACAGTGAAACAAAAAAAATCTACATCTGAGTTGTCAGACCACAGAATATCTGAATAAAAATCTGATGTTGAGTTTGTAATTACCTATTGGCTGCTCACTGGGCTGAAACTGAGCTAAACAAAAAAGTGGAGGATGTAAAACTGAATCTGAGCTGATAGATACAGAGAAACGCTGTTGGATGATTGATTTGTCACTATACTTTATACCTTTCACACTACATATAGTTTAAACCGTATCCAGCAAATCTTCATATTCAAAAGCTACATTTTTGCTACTTTAGATTAATTCAACTTTGTCACACTGAGCAATTATTCCGTATTCAAACTTCCATACTATCCATACCTGCATCCTAAACATCATTCTTAGCAGGAGAAATATCAAATTATGAGTGCAAACATTTCTCTAAATGCTACTTAAGCATGCAATGTCTGGCACCGTGGTAGCTCAATGCACAGCGTAGGAAATAATGAGTTTATTGACCATTTTTATCTCTCTGTAATTATAATTTCGATTCATTGAGTCCAGGATGGCTGTCATGAGGAGAGGGAAAGGTCAGGGATGACGCACCAGTACCCAGGAGGTTTCAGGTAGGATGGAAGAGAGAGCACCGCAGAACGCATCAGCAAGTTACAGCACAATGCAAAGCTGTGGGGGGTTAAAAAGAAGCAGGCAGCGATTCATGAGCAGAAGTGCATCTGCAACAGCATGCTTTCTTATCTGATGCAGTGCCATGAAATATTCTTAAAAGACTCCTGCAAGCAACAGACTTTTTTTTTTTAACTTTATAGAAGTATGTGGTTGTTTTGTTTTCTGTCCCCAGTTTGCAGGAAAAAAGTGCCAAATATGGCTAAAACCATATATGAGATCATTAAAATCAAGCTGGGAAACTGTTGCTGGGTCAAAGACAAACAAAACCACAGATTTATTCCTTTTAATTCCATCCAAAACACCCTTAATCAATGAATACTTCCAGTGTCTGACCCTTAGGGTCCCTCTTTGAATAATCCTACATGGAGCATTTATCAATGAACTGGCTTTAATCCCAGGCCCATCTTGATAGACGCTCGTCATGACATCTGCAATGACCTTAATCCCTGCTCAACCCAGCGCTCACAGTAGCTGCTGGAAAGTACACTGTGCCGTCTGGCTGAGGAGTGAATCGATTGCCTCCGGATCCCATCCTCTGCTATCAGGATGTGGCCAGTTTCTTTACTTCTGTGTGATCAGGCTGTTTCGACGTGTTGTGTTTGCAAAGGTCAACATTAGTGCCCGGCAATAAAGAGATAGCTTGTGCCGGTGCATTTGTCCTGGTTTTCAGATAAAAGCTGAACCTCTGCTGCGTCACATTTTACTGATCAAAGCTGGAGGCAGTCAGCAGACATGCTCGTATTTATTTTTTTATATATTTCGTTTGATTGTTCATTGTGTTAGGATTTCCTTTAAACCTGCAGATGTGTTATCAAACATCTGCACTCTTATAGTTGTTGTGCACTAGCATATCATTGCTTCTCCGGGGATGTTTTAACACAGTATTAACTTAAAGCATTTCAACATTTCATTACTTGTTGTATCAAATTTAAGATGGAAAGACTTTGCATGTTGCATTTCAGTCACAGAGCTGGTAGTTTTCCACTCTGGTTTAGGTAAGTGTTTTTTTTAATATATATATATATATATATATATATATACATATTCTCAAATAGGAGAAATAACTTTGCCATTTTTCTTGGTTAGCTACAGTAAACGTAGAAGACCTAACATTTGTCTTTTCTGTAAAATGTGATATTTTTTCCTTCACGCAAAACTGTGTTTTTATTACAGCCATTTACAAGTTATGTTAAATTCAAGTTTGTTTTTCCCCATAAACATTTTACACTATTAATCAAAAGTAAATCGTTAAAGCAGAGGATGAATGCATTGGATGAGCACAGTGATTACCTTCCTTTTGGCCTGTAGCTGTCCTTGGTAGTTATCAGATGAATCTCCAGGGATCTCACCTCCCCATAGTGTCACCCCCACAATGGTATAGGTGATGCCCATCACCACTAAGGGCAGTATGTAGACCAGAACTGTAACTATGATATGATACCTGTGCAAATAATGAAGCAGATGCCAAGCTTTTAAAGGAAGCTGTCTGACGTTGCTTGACCAAAGCAGCTTTAGTGGGAGTGATAGCAAGCTAAGAGAAACAAGACAGCTGAAATCTGAATTGATAAGGATGGTTAAGTTTTCAGAGAAAAACAGAGGAGGGTGTCAGTGTGATCTCACATGAAGGAGTCTTCGGCCATGCGGGGCCAGGCCACGTAGCAGACGGTCCTTTGGGGCAGAGTTCGGATGGTGGAAAAGTAGCAGAGCGGGAAGGCCAGAACCACAGCCAAGCTCCAGATACAGACAATGACCCCCAGAGTGGCTTTAGCAGGCAGACGAGGCTTCATAGGGTGGATGATCGCCATGTACCTACAACCGAGAGCCCACAACTTAGTGAGTGAGTGAGCTCAGCTATCAGTTGATGCCCACAAGTGTGAGTTTCTCCATGGTAGGTGGGATGCAAACCCTGAAATGGCCGTTACTGTGGCAGAATACTATGATTTACCCAAGACCTCATTAGACCCAAAGACCCATTTTCAGGCATTTAAAGCGTGTAATTCATCAGCTGTAGTTTATTTTTAAAGTCAGATTAAAGATGGGAAAAAATAAAACTGTAACAATTTTAAAATAAGTATTTTCAGACCAAATTCAGACAAAAAAAATAAACGAAACAGTAAATAAAATAACACTGAACACCACTGTTCAGCTGCAACTTATATACAGCGGGGGGGGAATAATCTAACTAATCTAACCAAACTGGAAAAAAAAAAGTGTTCGTAAAAAGAGGTCACTGAAAGGGCTCTTGCGTCTCTCCAGCTTAATAATAACACGGCCGTACCTGTCGATGGCGATCGCGGTCATGGAGTAGATGCTGGCAAACACGGCGGTGACTGGAAAGAAGTTGTGGAACCTGCAGTACACCTGGCCGAAGTACCACTCTCCGTGAGCCGCGTAGATGAAGTTGATGAGCGTGTTGAAAGCGGCCATGGAAACGTCAGAGAAAGCCAAGTTCAGCAGGAAATAGTTGGTGACAGTCCTCATCCGCTTGTGCGCCAGAATAATCCAAATCACTATCAGGTTCCCGAAGACCGCCACGGCCAGTACTGTGCTGTAAGCCACCGACCACAGCGCGACGCGCCACGGAGGCTGCACGAACTGGTTGGTCAGACCTCTGGTTGTGTTTTCCATTCCTCAGGTGTGCTCGATCCGATCTGTTTCGCTCAGTCTGCTGCTGCCAGAGGTCTCTACAAAGATGCGCCACAGACGCGCGACGTGCTCAAAGGACATGTGACCGGTGAGGCAGAGAGAGTTCTCCACATGCGTCTGCCATCGTTCAACAAATCAAACAAACATATAAACTCTCTGATCGTAGTTTTCACATTTTAGTCTGCACAATTAAACAAGCACACAGATTTTTAATGAGAAATTGATACTTTATTCTGTTCTGTCTGTGTCTGTTATTAGAAACACACATTGTTTTTGGTTGAAGTCATGGACCTCTTTAAGCTAAATCACATAATTCAAAGGCAAATAAACAACTAATTTAATAAATAACTGGGTTGCTATTTGGTATAACTGTTATTGGCTACTTGCACTTCCGCAGTACCATCACATCCACATTACAAGCCTTTGGAATTTATCACATTCCTAATTTCATATGGAAAAAGTGACAGACAACGAATCTGAAAGACAAGGAAATGTTCTACATTCATAAATTACAGACTGCTAATCACACTGGTTTAAATGACGATTGAGATTTTACAGTTTTTGTTTGTTTTTACTTTTCAAATTTTGTTTGTCCCTAGAAATGCATTTGTATTATCTGTGGTTGATGGTATTGTATGTTGCTTATGTACATTTGGTTTAAATGTAATAAATATTTTGGATATCATGTTGACACCCTTTTGGTATCCTGCATCCAGGTTTTGAAAGTTCTTTCTATTGGTGGAGCATCGCTGGTGGACGCTTACCACTGGTGGAACATGAAGATCCAGCATTTCGATGAACTGTGTTGATGAAAGCTTATCTGCTTAAAGATGTTGGAGTATTCTTGGTCAAACGTGACAATAAATGTTAAAACAAGTATATTTTTTTCCTTTTTTTTGCTAAAATTTTGGTCATAACTCCAGGAGAAATCAAATAAATTTCATTGTAAAACATAAAAAATGTTGCTGTAGCATTAGATCTGTCTGAAGCTTTAAATCAGCCTGAGGGTGATACTGTTAAATCCTTAATAACTGTTTCATCCAAAGCAAAGCTCGTGGTGTCAGGATTTTATGGGTTTGTCTGTATTATGTAAGAGGTTTAGCCAATGTGAGAGCCCAATAGGTTAGCCTGACTTAGTGGTTCATGTACAGAATCTGTTTGTAGAGAATAAAGCTCAGTAAAACCAGTAAGTGTCGAATATAGTCTCTTTAGGGTGCTACATACAGTATCTCACAAAAGTGAGTACACTCCTCACATTATTGTAAATATTTTGTTATATCTTTTCATGGGGCAACTTTGAAGATATGACACTTTGACACAATGTAAAGTAGTCAGTGTACAGCTTGTATAACAGTGTAAATTTCGTGTCACCTCAAAATAACTCAACATACAGCCATTAATGTCTAAACTGCTAGCAACAAAAGTGAGTACACCCCTAGGTGAAAATGTCCAAACTGTGCCCAAAGTGTCAACATTTTGTGTGGCAACCATTATTTTTCCAACACTGCCTTACATCTGTTGGAAATTGAGTTCACTGGAGCTTCACAGGGTGCCACTGGAATCCTCTTCCACTCCTCCATGATGATATCATGGAGCCGGTGGATGTTAGAGACCTTGCCCTCCTTCACCTTCCATTTGAGGATGCCCGACAGATGCTCAATAGTCTGGAGACATGCTTGGCCAGTCAAGTACCTTTACCCTCAGTTTATTTAGCAAGGCACTGGTCTTTTTAGAGGTGTGTTTGAGGTTGTTATCATGTTGGAATACTGTCCTGCGACCCAGTTTCTGAAGGGAGGGGGTTGTGCTCTGCTTCAGTATGTCACCGTACATGTTGGCATTCATGGTTCCCTCAATTAACTGTAGCTCCCCAGTGCCAGCAGCAATCATGCAGCCCCAAACAATGGCATCCCTCTACCATGCTTGACTATAGACAAGAAATGCTTGTCTTTGTACTCCTCACCTGCCACACACCCATAACACCATCTGAACCAAATAAGTTTGCCCTGGTCTCATCAGGCCACAGGTAATCCATGTCCTTAGTCTGCTTCTCTTCAGCAAACTGTTTGCAGGATTTCTTGTGCATTATCTTTAGAAGAGGCTTCCTTCTAGGATGACAGCCATGCAGACCAGTTTGATGTAGTGTGGCGCATGGTCTGAGCACTGACAGGCCGACCCTCCACACCTTCAACCTTTTCAGCAATGCTTGCAGCACCCCTACATCTATTTTTAAAAGACAACCTCTGGATATGACGCTGAGCATGTGCACTCAACTTCTTTGATTAACTATGGTGAGGTTTGTTCTGAGTGGAACCTGTCCTGTTAACCTGCGTTATGGTGTTGACTACTGTACTGCAGCTCAGTTTCAGGGTGTTGGCAATCTTCTTAAAGCCTAGACCATCTTTATGTAGAGTAAAAAAAATTTCAGATCCTCTGAGAATTCTTTGCCATGATGTGCTGTGTTAAACTTCCAGTGACCAATATGAGAGAGTGTGAGAGCAATTACACCAAATACAACACACCTTCTCCCCATTTGCACCTCAGACCTTGTAATACTAACGAGTCACATGACACTAGAATCGAAAATGGCTAATCGGGCACAAATTGGACGTTTTCACCTAGGAGTGTACTCACTTTGGTTTAGGCAATGATGGCTGTATGTTGAGTTATTTAGAGGGGGCAGTGAATTTACACTGTTATACAAGCTGTACACTGACTACTTTACATTGTATTAAAGTGTCATATCTTTAATGTTGTCCCATGAAAAGATACAACAAAATATTTACAAAAATGTGACGGCTGTACTCATTTTTGTGAGTATTTCTTGTTTCAGATTAAGGTGAAATCCAATCTTTTTTGGATGTAGGACTAATTTATGAACACCTCTATAAAAGATCTATTTTCTGTCTCTGAGCTTCTTCATGACAGTAGATTAAAACAGCAATTGTTTTAATTTTACCTTGGTACATCGCAATGATTAAGGTCAAACTGTTATTAAACCCAAACGTTGCATTTGTTAATAAAAACTTACTTTGTGTACTAAAAGTTTACTCATTCTCACAGGGTCAGACTTCCGGCCTATTCTGACGTGATTTGCTTTTCATTGATCAAACTTCACACAGAGATCAGACACTTGACAAGAAGACACATCCATACCCCCCATCCATACCCCCCCCCCCACTGCCGCCCCCTACTAAATAACTGATGCCTGAATTATTCAAAGCAAGAAGAGGGTGAAAGTTTAGGTTACAGCTAATGATACTATCAGCTGTTACTAAATAGCTCCTGACCTTTTTAGTATGGGAGTAAGGGCGTGTTTACAACAATTTCGAACACTGACATTTTAAAGAGGGAGTGGCCCAGAAGAGGTGGCCTCTGGGTAATGAGTTCTTGCTGAGAGGAAACAGACTTTCTGACCTTCTTTTGGTCTTTTCACAGTGTGCACAGCTTAAAATGGCCCACAGCCTCTATTATAAAACCCAGCAGAGTGCAGCCTTTCAATAAATACATATTGAAAACAAGTGAATATGGAAACATCAAACAACCCACGTCACTGAAGAGCTCATAAAAGCAAGATTGCTCGAGGCGCTTTTTGAGGTAATTGCAGTCATACACAGCAGGAGAAAAACAAAACACTTACTGGGCATTAGAATTGTGACGCTGATGTCTGCGTGGCAACACATCAAATAACTGATTTGTTATTAACATTAGACAACCTCAAGTGAATAATGCAACACGCAGCACTGGCAAAGCACAAAGCAGGATTTTACAAACACAGATTTCAAGAGTCCTCCGGATACACTTGTCTTTTTTAATAGTTTATTCATGATTTTATTTAGCCAGAGTCAGTGAGACAATGTGGAGGACTAGAGGACAGTTGCAAGGAAAAAGGAGGAGTCATTTTTTGTTCAGTTAAAGATATTTTGAATGGTGTTCTTCTAAATTAGGTCATAGTTGGATATATATCGCATGTATTGTTTATAACATCTGAAAAGCACAAGTTAGAGAAGCATGTGCTTCTCACATGCTAGACAGCTTGAAACTGGATAGCACACTAACAATGTATGCCTGGTTAGCCTGAATCCTCAGAGTGCCATTTAGATACTTTACATTTGTTATTTAGCAGCAACAGTAAGCTATCATTTATTTATTTTTTTCAGTATAAAGGTAACTGTGTCAAAACCAGAACGTAAAATACGATTTTCTTATTTTTATATATTCATATCAGCTGATATTATGAACAGGCTCAGTATTTAAAAAATGGTTTCAGTTCGCCCTCCCTCAATCATAAAATCATGCCAGAAATACAAAAGAGCAAAGAAGAGCCCGTAAGTAGTAAGAATGTACTACTCAAGGTCAAGGAAGCATTTCGAAATGCATAAGTGTATCCAGCTGACCTGGAGGTAAAATACAGCTGTCAAAACGAGGTATGAACAAACTGACCTAATTAAGTGAGACACAACATTATACTCACAAATCAAAACATTTAACAGCCAGAGGTGAAATAAACACCACCCCCCTGCTGTCACACATGATGGTCTGGTCCTTTTGTTAAGCCTCAGTGTACTCCACCCTTGCCACGTCAGAAGCGCGAAACTAGTACCGGTAACTGAAAGATTCAGCAACGTAGCGCGTGTAAACTACTGACAGGCCAACGTACAGGCCTCATTTAGCACCGCAGTATGTTAAAAAAGATTTAAAACATCTGTTATATAAGTTAGGTAACTACAAAGGTGACTGAGTATGGTAATGCTGTGTGAGAGGGTGAACCCAAGATCTGTGTTTGACTCTGTTAATTAATGGATGAATATTGCTCAGTCGTTCGTGTTTGTTTTTTGTTTTGTTTTTTAACTTTATGCTAATATAGCTAACAATGAGTCGGGCAGCACATGTGCATTTTTTTCCAAACCACACTATTCCAGCCTAGTTTTTTGTCACTGTGAACAATGTTTGTTGTTGAAAATACCCTAGTTTAGAAGAGAGTTTAATTATTTACTTTAAGTTAAGAGAAAAAACTTTTAGTGCTCTTGGAAAGTAATATTGTTAATTTTTATTCTGACCTCGTTCATCAGAGATTAACTTTTGCCCTTTGGACCAAATCTGAAGTGTCTCCTTTTTCAGACACTGACACAGCATGAATTTGGCCTATATCTCCTTTACTTTAAAACAGCAAACACACTGTACAACATTTGAAAAGCTTTTGCTTTAATATCTATGCATATCTACACAATGCCTGGTTTATTATTGTTGAAGCATTGTCAGCATGCACTTCACAGAGGCTAGAGCTCAAAGGACCTGCACCATACACAGGGTCCTAAAGGGCAAGGCCTCATTGGTAGCAACAAGAGCAACATTACTATTTATTCACTTAGCTGATTTAAATATACATTTTGTACTTCTGGCAACACTTCCAGCCATGTTTAGATCACTCCCATATTGACTTGCATTTGCTCATCTACATGTAGGGTGACTCTCCAGCTTTAGTTTTAGTTTGTGTCTCCACAAAATGTCATGTGATGGGACAGTTGCAGACACCAAAGTACAGGTTGTGTTTGCCAGATTTCACAGTATACACAGATGCACAGTTTTACCACAGAACATACCTTAATATGGTGTGTCTAATTCAGACATATAGATCTTCTTTCAGCTGTTTTCTTATCAACAAGACAGGTAGTTCTGCATATTTTATTTATTTATTTATTTGTTTTCCAGATGCCCTTCCTGACCCAAAGAGACTTGTGTCTGCTCCTGGAATCAAACCAGGGATCTTTCACTTATTAAATGTATTTGTATACATATATGTACAGTATTTGTATAGCGCTTTTCTAGTCCCTAAGGACCCCAAAGCGCTTCACATCCAGTCATCCACCCATTCACACACTGGTGATGGCAAGCTACATTGTAGCCACAGCCACCCTGGGGCGCACTGACAGAGGCGAGGCTGCCGGACACTGGGCCCTCTGACCACCACCAGTAGGCAACGGGTGAAGCGTCTTGCCCAAGGACACAACGACCGAGACTGTCCAAGCCGGGGCTCGAACCGTCAACCTTCCGATTACAAGGCGAACTCCCAACTCTTGAGCCACAATATTAGAAAAATGAGTAAACCACTATTCAATGGAGCCACTTTGTGAGCTACTTCCTGACAAATAGATATAAAAATTAAAAAAGAAAGCACACATTCACACAACCAAAAACAACCAACAACATAAAAACAAGGAAAAAAGGAAGAAATATCTTCATAAATACAGGAAATCAGAGCACCATTAGCCAGCAAAGCCTGCGGGGTAAAAGCAAAAGATAAAATCAAGTGAATTGAATTGAACTGACAGACAGAGGCGGAGAACGAGAAAGAGAGAGCGACAGAGTGAACGAGTGAGAGGAAGCAGCTTATCATCAAGCGACGGATCAAAGAGGATTACATGTCTAAATGGAGCTTAGGTCTTCTTTCGAGAGTTGCAGGGTGTGAGAAAACGTACGGTGGTATGGAGAAGAAAGATTGCAAAGTTGTGAGGTAATTAACATTTTTAGACTACAGATTCATCAACTAGATTCATTCATTTGAATGATTCGTATGATATTGATGAAATAGATGTCCAAGAACTGCTGCTGCTAGAAAACTACTGTAATTAAATCCTACCTATATCACTTTAGACTGCTTCACCTTTCTTTAGGCAATAAACTAAAAAATTAAGCAGACTTTTTCCCAAAAGCACCCATGCTTTTACTGCTTGTTTACTAATAAATTATCAGATATATATATTTATTTATAGTTAGCAGTGGTGGTGGAAATGCTTGGAGTGTTTTGATACAGCTGCAATAAAGCATCTGCCGAGGTTTGGGTTCCTCTGAAGTGAAACATCTTATGTGCCATTTACTTGTTGTTGTTGTTGTTGCAGCACCTCAAAGTTGCACCACAGGCCAAAGAGCAATGAGAGCGGCTCCTGCTGGTTTAGCAGAAAACAACAGAGTGACTTCCTGTTACATCACAAAAATGAAATTTGAGCTGAAGAAACGGATAGAGGAGGGCAGCTGTAAGAAGGTACAAACATAAGGAAGCTTGAAGGCGGGCGCAGTCAATCGAAGCAGTCTGTACTTGCATGTGGGTTGGTTTGTACTGTGTGAATTGTGAATAGCTAAGCAGCTGCTGTGGGCTGAAAAGTGTTTTTTTTAGGTTATGAAATAGCACACTTCTGCCCCGACACAACTTCCCCTCTGGGTTCAAAGGTTGATGAATCCAGTGAATGCTAAACAAGGTTGAATTTTGACGTGAAAGGTAAGACGTGGAGTCAATTTAATGTAGTTTTATGCTTATTTTATTGGCTGTATTGACAGAGGCAAGCTGCCAAAGTCTTAAAAACCAGTTTCTCAGATTTTACTACTTTATTTTTCTCATTTACTGCTGCTGCTGTTGTAGTAGATGTAACTATGCACTTACTAGTGCTTACAGTCACATTGTAATATGATTGTATGACAGCACAGTGTGCTCCTATTTATATTTCTGCCATCACTTACATTGTAAATAGCAGATCCAGTTCTTCAGCTGGGATCATATCTGTGATCCAAAACCTGGAGTATAATGAGTATAATGACACTGCAGCATTGAGATGGTATAAATATCATAAAGAGTAGGTGTGGCCTTGTGCTATATCCCCACTTACTATAGCAACAGATGCCAGGATCTCTAAAACTAATATAGATAATGATGTGAAATAGTCACTTTTAATATTTATTTTTGATAAGAATTGAAATGCAAAGTATGTATTTAATATTTTAATGTACAGTTGAACAGAAAGTTATAAAAGGGTTCATCTGAGGGCAGTATCTGACTTTCCCTCAATAAAATGGGGCCTCTATCAGCAGATGTGGGATCCCTTGTGGTTGCCAGTGTGGACATTGGACGAGTGAGCAGTGTTAGGAAAGGTGGTTTCAAAGGACCGCCGCCTAAAACCTTTCTGGTTGACAGAGTGTTTATTTCAGGTTTCTCGATAGCAAGATTTGTTTCATCAGCTCTATTTGTACTTCTGAACTCTTAAAATAGTATTCCTGGTGAAAAGGAAACAAAGGTGGTAAGGCCTGTTAGCTTAAAAGGTGACCAAAGTATAAACAACAAACTGCCTCAGGGAAGATTTATAAATGGTTCAGTGTCCCAACTTCTGTTCTCTTAAACAAGCCAGAGCAAGGGAAGTAAAACTGTAGTTTCCTATGAACTGAGTGTTGTCACCTATTTATCACTTATGCTGCTAAATATTTTATTTTTTTTATTATTATAAACTGATTTACCTATAAATGGTAAAGGAGAGAGCCATCAATTGGAAAACTGTCTTTTGGAGAGTTGCCTCTCCAGCGCACCTATTGTCTGCTTTCCCCCCCAAAGCAGTAAAACTGGATTCATGGTGGTTCATTCTTCTTAAAGGGGTAGCTGCATATTCCTGAAGTTTGTTTTACACTGTAAGAATTAAGTGTTTGCCCTAATTTTATGAGAAGTGTATTTTGCATACAATCATAAATGAGTTAGATTTGTTGGACCTTCTGACTCTGATCTCCTGGAGGGTGGTGTGTGTGTGTGTGTGTGTGTGTGTGTGTGTGTGTGTGTGTGTGTGTGTGTGTGTGTGTTTGAGTTTCAATCTTTACATGTATATTTCTGCTGTTATTTATTTATTTTTTTGTTGGAGGTGAACCTGAATTCATCATTTGTTCCACTAGGAACACCTTGATTCTGTTCTAGCTTTCCTTAAGCTGCACCTCAAAAAGCTCAAAGGTTACACTCCCTTTAGTCAATGAATGACTGCCAGGACATCATCGGTACTTTTTTTTGGTTTGTTTGTTTGTTTATACAACAGAAAAAGAGAATCCAACATTAACCTAGCACCCTCTTTTTTTTCTCGTGGAAACAGATGGAGTCTGTGTCTTTCCCACCGCTGTCCAGGGTTGCCGTTTGTGGTGGCACTCATGGAAATGAGATGACAGGGGTTTACATGGTGAGACATTTGCAGAAAGAGAAGATAGATAAAATTGGATCTGTTTCTGTCTCCACTGTCCTGACAAACCCACGGGCTGTGGAGATTTGCAGGAGATACGTAGAAACCGACCTTAACCGCTGTTTCACAGAAGCCTTGCTAAAGTAAGTTCAAAAACGAAACTGATGCCAAAGCTTTATGTAGGTAATGAAGTTTTAAAGGTTTTGGCTAACTGCGCTACACTGTGAGAGCAAAGTAAAACTTTTCAAATCTGCCATGTGTGAGAGACGTCTTTGTTTTATTTTCCCGATTCTAGTTCCCCTGTAACAGATTCATCACCCTATGAACTGAGGCGAGCTCAGGAGCTGAACGCTCAAATTGGGCCCAAAGGAAGCAAAGAGGCCATGGACCTGATCATAGACATCCACAACACCACTTCCAACATGGGCCTCTGCTTCATCTTTTACTCCATAGACTGGTTCACCCTGCACATTCTCAAGTACCTACAGGTACAAGAGTACTACAAACAGATATTTCGAGTCATGCACTTGGAATTTGCACCTATAATGTTTCTGATAAAGAAAATATGCATAAACTGTGAACTACTAGAGGTCTCATATCTTCAAGTTCAAATAACTTAAATTTTGCTAAAAGTCAGGTTAATCTTCGCAGTGATGGTATGGTGAGATAGCAGCAGCTGTTTTCAAAAGCAAGAATGCACAAGGCAAGGTGGATCCATGCCTTTATGTTGTTTGAACCAAAGTCTGACCCTACTATCAATATGTTGCATCAGAAATCAAGACTCATCAGACCAGACAACATTTTTTTAAATCTTCTGTTGTGCAATTTTGGTAAACCCATATGAATTGTAGCCGCAGTTTTCCAGTCTTAGCTGATGGCAGCAGAAGACCACACTGCAGAGATGCTGTTCTGCATACCTTGGTTGTAACACATAGTTATTTGGGTAACTGTAGCCATCTTGTCAAATTGAAGAAGTCTGGTTATTCTCTGCTGACCTCTAGCATCAACAAGACATTTCCATCCAGTAAAATGCTGCTCACTGGATATTTTCTCTCATTCAGGCCATTCTCTGTAAACCTTAGAGATGACTGTATGAGAAATTCTCACTAGATCAGCAGTTTCTGAAATATTCAGATAAGCCTGTCTGGCGCCAACAACCATAATATATTCAAAGTCATTACCCTATTCTGATGCTCAATTTGAACTTGACATCTCTACGTGCCTAAATGTGTATTGTTGCCATGTGTTATCATGTCATTAATAGCACAGACAATAACAGATACAAATACAATCCTGTCAGTAATCCTCCCAAACACCAAAGTTAACCCCATTAAGCTGTATAATGTGTTGTCTTCAAGCACCAATTTTAACTAAACTGTCTGAGGAATTTTTCTTAGTCTTTGTTTTAATGTTTCTACTGGGTAGTAGTATTTTCCAATCAAAAAAATTAAAAGTATGTCTGTGTTGCTTGTACATCACTCATGCAATTATGTTCTTAACTCAATAAAATCAGGTTATAAAGCTATAATCAAAATCCGGGATAAACATGTAGTTTATTTTAAAGCTCAGCCTATCGTACCTAAGCACAGTGTGCAGTCGACAGTAAACATATTTGATTTTCAGAGTAAAATGGCTTCTGTGGAAGTTAGAGCAATCCAGCTGGACATACCGATCGCTGAGGCTTATTCTTTAGAATCGGTCGGCAAGCATGGCTTTGGTAAGTGTGTCTGTGTGCATCTTTTGCAAAGCTGAGCTTATTAAATATTTAGATGATTGTTCCCCTTGTTCTTTGCAGCAATAGAGGCCGGCCCACAGCCCAATGGTGTGGTCAGAGCAGATATCCATAACATGGTGAAAGAGGCAGTGGATCATATATTCAGTTGGCTTCAGGAATTTAATTCTGGTAAGATGCTACCGCTTTTAAAATGCCCCTTCTTATAAGCTTTGGTTGAAATATTTATTTAAATAATTTTGTAGTCTGCAGTTGTTCAGTTAGCTGCATTTTTTTACAATTGCCATGGCAATATCTTCAGCTGTGGCCAAGCTTTTAATTGCTGCATGCAGGAGAGCTATCACGTATCACACAGAGATTCATATAGTCAGCAGATAACATAGTTGAGCAGGCTACACCAGGTCACAAATCTAAATATGAGAATAAACAAGAATGTTTCCCATTACACAAACAAACAAAATAACGAGGTGAAACATATCGGATGCATATGCTTCCCCACATGTGTAATGTACTGTGTAATTAACCAATTAATTATAGAATACATCCTGTGGCTGGAGCTTCACCTCACCTGATGTTTCAATGGGAGCAGGGCCTAAAGTGGCCTCTGCAATTTGCTATATATAAATATTTGGTTAATGGCACATGTTTTTTGTCATTTTGCTGCTGTATGCTACAACAGTTGGTTCAAACAGTCATCACATGAATAAAGTGCAGACTTTTTACTTTTATTGAAGAAGTTTATCAAAAGCATTGCATTAACTTTTGAGGTATTACAGTCGTTTTTCAACACAGTTCCCTCATTTTCAGAGGGGTAGCTTCACTGGAGAAGCTTTAAGTCATCACAAATCAGTAAATCAGACAGTGGGGTTAACCGTGAACAATTATGCAATGGCAAACAACAACATCAGGTGGACCTACAGTGGCAAAATCAAACCATAGCTCTTTGTGAAATGACTCCATTAACTCTGCAACTTTTATCCTCATCAGGAAGCACATTTGAAGGGGGTGAAGTGGAAGCATACACCTTGGTGAAAAGCATAGATTACCCGAGGAATCCAGTTACTGGGGAAATCACTGCTGCCATACACTCCCAGTTACAGGTACAGTACAAGATGGGTGCACGTTTTATAGTCTAAGCTTTCACACTTTTCATTATCTGAGTCTAGGTCACAGTTGCAGCAGTTTTAGAAGCACCTAGGTGCTTCCAAGCTAGCTGAGAGACTTAAAACCTCTCCAGTCTATCCGTCTAGCTTATCCTTATCCTCGGGTCTCCTGCCCATTAGACATGTCCAGTGTCCACAAAATAAATACTGAGTCCTTTGGCAGAATCCCTCACACCCTCAAGTATCCTTGAGAGGTTGTCTAAAGGTTTGGCCTTAAACAAGCCTTCCTAACCTGGTTTCATCTGAACATTTACATTCATGAATTCAAAGACTGTCAAGCAGTAAATGTCGTATTTGCATGTCTTTCTCCAGGATAATGACTTCAAGCTTCTGCAGCGGGGCAATCCGATATTCATGTCATTTTCCGGGGAGACAGTGAAGTATGATGGCGAGGACCTCTACCCTTTCTTTGTCAATGAGTGCGCCTACTACGAGAAGAAGATCGCTTTTCATTTAGCTCGAAAGATAAAGTTGACACTCCCACCCATAAAAGTGACAGGCTGAGAGTGCTAAATTTAAATATCCCAATTTTAAATTATAATAAAGTAGGAAATGAGAATTATTCTGATCATTTGAAATATGCAAATGAACAAACGTGATGTCATGACTGACAAATATAAGGTGTCTAAAACATAACTCCATCCTCCAGTGCAGTACAGGAGCTCTGCTAGTCCCTCTGTTAATATGTAAAATGAAGCTTATTCGAGCTTTATCTGAGTGGTGTGTTGCACAGGCTCTAGAGTTGGAGTCCACGCATTTTATGTTTTTTAAAGCTAAATTTAACGTGCAGAAATCCTTTTTGAATGAATGACTGAATAAATGAACATGAATGAATTTTAACTATAATCTTCTTAGCATTGTGTATTTGATTTGGGTTTACATAAAATAAATGGATCAGCTCAATTATCAGCAGGAATATGCTCATCGGTCAGAGCAACTACATGCTCCAGTGTGTTTATCAAGTACACTTTACAACATTGGTTTGTCCTAACGTTACACTGTGAGTGATGAAATGATCAATGAAAGATGCAAAAGAAATCTATCATATTTATCTACTGTGCTTAAAAAAGACTTTGATGATTTCAGTTGTCTCTGTATACCTTACACACGTTTTTAAATCTTTCAACAGACACTTTATAACTGTGTTAATGAAAATTTGTTATAAATAAAGTTAATTGTATAATACAAGCATGTAGTAAGTGGTTCTTAACACAGTGCACAGCTGCAATTGAGAAGCCTTTGTTTTAAAGTAATGATCAAAAAAGCCCATAAAACAAAGAATTTTACTTTGACCTTGAGCACAGTTCAGATGAAGACCCATTAAGTGGTCACGGTGTACAACTTTGAGTGAAATCTGACTAAAACTCTGGGATGAGAAGTGATTCTTGTCAACTGTGGACGAAACAGATGACCGACACCTCTCAGATCATCAGCAATATCTTAAATATTTCTACAATCAGTTCCAAATGTGCAAACACTTTTTTAACTACTTACACTAAAATCTGACACTGCAGGATTAGCTGTAGGTCCTGTTCTTTGGAGCAAGCTGCCTGCTGACCTGAGATCAATTGGATCTTGAAAAACCCTTCTTTTTCACACTCTATAGGAGTGCATTTTTCTTTTTCAAATTTTCTTTTGTTGTTTTCACAAAATATATCAAATTGCCATTGTTCTTCCTGAAGATGTGTAAGACAAGACAAGACATTGTAAGCTTGTAAGTAAGAACTCATCTTTACTCGTCTCCTTTAACCTCCTAAGACCCAAACTCTTTCATGGCATGCATTTTTAATTTCTGTTTGCTGATTGGGATCTGATGAATGTAAAAACAGAATTACCTGATCTTTTTTTTTTTTCTTTTACCTGATTTTTGTTTGAGAAAAATTAGATCCACATAAGAGGTCATTCATTTTAAATTTCGATAGAACAGTGGCAGTATGTCCTCGTAAGTGGATATCAGGCCCTTGTAGAGCAAAATTTAGTATTTTGGTCTAGACAACCCAAAATGTGATGACCACATATGTGAACGCCAGGTCCTAGGAGGTTAAAAGGGATTACATGAAACAAAGATAAAAGTCAGCAAATGCCAAATTTATTAAGACATAATCAGTACAGTGTGCTTCTGGATACATAAAAACATTTACAAAAAGCCAGAGTGTATACACGTCAGACATGTAACAAATCATTCTGACACAAAACATTACAGTTTGTTTTGTTCAGTGCTGACATATTACTCATTTTGGACTTTTGTACACACAAAAATGTGTAAATGGTCACAGATTCAAGAGGATTTGAACTTTTTGGAAAATTTGATTGTTATTTTAAAAAGTCACACTGAAACGCTGACATACTGTATCAACAGTAAACATCTGAAAGCTTACCAAAGCCGTCAGACAAGTAACTGTTTGAAAGGATGGGAGAACCGACTTAAACTCCAGCCTGCAAACATTGAGGTGGTGTTGAGCAGCAAACCCTGTGTAAAATGGCAGTATAGCAGATCATTTGGGGCTTAAGGTCACAGGTTTGTGTGGCATCACTTTAGCTTTTTTGTTTGTCTTTTTAAATATTCAAACTAACTAAATTAATACATCTACAAACACAGGCGACAGATGAGTGGTCACATTTGTGATGACACTTAGAAAATACCACAGGCTGAAATGAACAATCACCACAGACGATGATGAAAAGGCATGCACAGGCTGGATATTTTAAATTATGTAAAAACAGAACTGCAGAAAAAAAAAAAAAGTAAAACAAATAAAATAAAATAAACTCTTGTTTAATATTTTTTCATGCACAGAGAAAGCTACCATGTCCTGGATAACTCCAGGTGTGAAGTTAAGGGCAATGTGGTGAGCAGCTTCAGAAGAAAATGGCAACCAAAAAGAAGGCAATAAAATAATGCACAAAAAAACATGGTTTACACCAGAAATAGTAAGTGATCTGCAACCCTTAAAGATTAAAACCATTAAGAACATGCTTTGGGTAAAACACAGGTTAGAAATGCAAGAAAAAGCACTGGTTAAATAACTCAAATGGTATTAAACCAACACTCCTTTCTACAGGTCTGAGATACTGTAAATTTTTTTTTTCCTTTTTTTAAGTATGAAAATTCTGTTACAGATGAAGTGAAAAGCACCCTTTATCCTAGTTACATCCTCTCCTAACAGGAAACCATTTTCTGAGGATGTAATGAAACCCGTAAGCTGTCTTAAACTGTATGATTGTCAGTCTCTCTTTTACGCTACCCTGTAAGCGGTCATGCGAGTGTAATTTTTGCGGTGACTTTTGGCCGCCCACAGGAACAGAGCAGCTGCCATCATCTGCAGAGGGAAGGATATGAGGGCAAGGTAAAGAGACCAGCCCAAAGTGCCCTCCACCCCATCAGGCAGAGGGAAATTCTGGTGGACCAAATCCACCCCGGCCAGGAAACAGCAGACGGTGCCCAGAGAACACAGACCTGAGGAGTCAAAAGCAGTGATGAAGGAACGGGATGAGATCATGTAAACGTTTATGTTTGTGGTCATTTGGAAAAAGGACTAAGCTTCTAATGCAAAGCAGAAACAAATCTAGCAGATGAACTCCACCTTCGTTGTACTCTGGCTAAGACCAAAGTAAATGAATGAAAGCAGAGGGAAGTTTTTTGTTGAACAAATGTTCTGTGCAGTGGTTTTCAAAGTGGGTTCTGGGGACCCTCAAAGGTCGTCAGTCTCAAAGCCTCAGGAATAAGCACCGCTGGTTTTGGATGATTTGCATACATTTTGACTTCTGTTGTGAATCTTTGTAGAGACTGCGATGTAACCTGGCTGACATTGGTGCTGACATTTATCTCGGGGCAAGTGCATTATTTGTTAATTGCCGTGTGGTCGTGTCCGAGGGTTTTACACGCACTGCCAGCCAAGATCAAAACAAACAGAATTCTGAGACTTTTTTTCCCCTCCTGGGTCCCCACTCGTTGTTATGGTCAGTTTTTTATGGGGCAAACATATTTGTCCCTCAACTTTTTCCACTTCTCCCCTCATGTCAATTCCAATAGTTTCAACAAACTCCCTCCAGGAACTTGGTGACAATCATACCGATGCTATGATTGTTTTCTCTCACTGATAAATTAAGTAAATAAGTAGCTGGAAATTCACAGGAGGAATCGATGGCACTAAACAGGACAATCACAGTGGTTGCAGGCTGTGTGAACCAGGCGTGTAGTTACATTTCTAGGAAGGTGCACATCAGGTTAAGCTGTACGTTATGGTGTAGGATTTTATAGGGTTCTGGGTATCTATAGCCCTAGTAAGCCATGCACAGCTGAAGCCGAAAGTCACTACAGAGGGGTGTACTACCAAGTATGTTCATAGCCAGGATTACTTTGTGTAAGCTAGCTTCACAAAAGTTAAAGGTCCACTCAGAGATAATAGGTATCACACTGGTGGGCATTGACCATCTTTGTTCAACCGGGCTTTGTGCTTCAGGTTCTCACATAAAAAAGGTCATTTGACACATCATTGGACTCCTCTTCAAAATGGATTGGCTGAATCAATCGGAGATGTTATCAGAGAAACGGATAACAGGGACGTAAATGTAACAATATGGTGGGGAAAAGAGGATATTAACACTTGCTGCTCTGTGTTTATTTCTACCTTATAGCTCCAACTCTAAAACTTTAAACTGGATGCAGTGAAACATTAAAGGTTTCTCACTATGGTCAGTTAAAACACTGTCTCAAAGTCATGTGGAGTCATGTGTATAAAGGGCATTTGGAAATCACCTTTTAATCACTTTTTGTTGCCTGATCAAAGAGACACTAATTGTATTGAATGCACCTGTAACTTGTAAGTTCAAAACTGCATGCCAGTAGCTGCAAGTCCAGCTGTGTAAATGACATTCAGCAGCAGATAAGGACCAACCATTCAGTCTGCTTGACCTAGAACTGATTGTGCCACTCGTTTTTGTCAACATTACTCATGCAGTAAAAATAGTAAGAAATTAAACTGTCAGTTCAGAAAAATGCAAGATATTATAGTTTTTATGCTCATAAATGTGTGTGTTTCTTTCACCTGCAAGAAGATGGAGCACTCCCACACAGAAGGTCGGGGTAAAGCTGCGGCACAAGCAGGCACAGACCCCAACGAGGACACTGAGGAACACCAGTGCCAGAGACACCAAGGGCAGCAGAAACTGGCACCTCCACAAGTCTGCACAACAATCATTGCAGGTTAAACTCAAACTCTGTCAATAATTTCTAATGTTTAACAAATGATGTGCGAGTAAAGACAGTGAAGGGAGCAGATGTGACCAAGATGGGTTAAAAAAAATGTAAGAATCGTTTAGTAAAATGAAAAAACAAAAACAAAACAAAACATATTTTATGAACTACAGGTCTCCCTGGATAGATTGAGGGAGAGTAAGGATACACTCACATGTTCTTAGCAGGTCTTCTTCTTCCTCATTTCCAGGTTTATACTTTGTACCTAACTGATCAGAAAGACTAAAGCTTGAACAGCGGGTTTCCATCTTCCGATCTAAAGCCAAAAAAGTCAGAGAACACAAATCCAACTAAGTCTTCTCATTAATTAACAATGTAAAGCATTTAACATGGGACTGGGCATTATAACAATCAAGTGCACTGGTTAAACCAATGCTGAGTGCAGAACAGTCAGTGACGTAAATCAATGTGCAGAATTAATCTAAATAAAATTCCTTAAAGTTAAAAATAGAGTTTAACAGACAAATCTTGTTCCAGATTTTCTTCTTAAATTTAGAAGGCAGCACTATCATCAAACAAAGTATTGGTCAGTGAGGACGCTGAACAGGTGTGCCACTGTGAGTAATACCTGGAGATTTGAACCAGTATGAGGGGCTGGCTACCAGGATACACCTCCACCATAGTGCCCGAGTGCCGTTGGGGTATACGGGTTCGCTGTGCGTTGTATTATTAACTTCTGGGGTATTGTACTCATACCAGTGCTGAGTCCCCACAGCCACGGAGAGGTACACTGTGGCCAGCAGGCTCAGCACGGAGCCGATAACCAGAGCTGTGGCGTACCGGTTATCCACCATGGTAGAGAAGAAGACAGCTCCTTAGGAGAACAAACACAGTCTGCAGTGTCAAATGAGGTTTGGCTTCCTGAGATGGAAGGCTAACAATTAGTTGTCGGCTTGTTGCTTTGGCTCCACGGCATGTGGTCAGTAGGCACTGGAAGTGTCACAGTATCCGAGCATTGTGCTTTCTTCAGTTAAGCTGCATGTTTGCTGCAGTTTCGATTAGGTCCACAGAAGCGTTCACAGCCTGCCGAGGAATCCAACATAAAAAATACATAAGCAACAAGTACGCAATACGAGGTGGTTAGCGTCGTTTGTAGCTTAATTAGCCAGTAATTAGTGATCATAACTGCTTTGTACCCATAATTAATGTTATTAACGTTAACTCTGCTTCACATTGCTAACAATAACAAAGTGTTATTGTCAGGAAGTTAGCATCCTACTTGCCAGCTAACGCTAAACATAGCTTCTTGCAGCAGAGTGCGACATTATCGAGTTATTTAACAGACACCTGAACGTTACAGATTTCACTCGAGCTCTTTTTTTTTTTTTTTTACCTCATTATTGGCCAAAACCTTCCAGTTATAGCCTTATCTTATCTTCTCTGCTCTATCAATTTGTAGCTGACCACCGCCTTCTTCTTCGCCTGTTTTTTCTTCTTCGTTTGATGGAATGAGTTTGTGCATTATGGCCACCTTCTGCTTCGGAGGAGAGGTGTCGCGAAATCTGATGATAATCCCAGGTAAGAGAGTTCGCAATAACAGTATTGTCGCGATATCTGTGGAAAGGGTGACGCTTTAATAGTAATCAGCCAGATTCCGTCATAATTTAAAAAAAAATCATAATTCATAGTATAAAATATGTTTTAATTATGAATGAATCTGACTAACGCAAGATAGAGCGTTGGAAACTGAATGTAGAAACCATAACCAAGCGAAGTGCCTACAAACTATAACAATTATAAATATTACATAATACATTTGAAACTACACTTATTTATAAATGTAATCTTTTAATTGTCGTGGTTATGGTAGATATTGCATCACATATAGGAGACCAGACATTATTCAATTTATGCTTAGTTCAATTAAATGTGATTTGTATGGCACCAAGTCACAAGAACAGTCATCTCAAGGTGCTCCCAACCAACACTGCCTTGACACAAACTGTTTAGGTTCAGGAATAGTCACAGATATGTATGCAGTTGGTAAAACCTCAATTTTACTCCTAAAAAACTTTAACACACACACAAAACCTTTTCTAGTCTTGCTTCAACATGCTGAACAGAAAATAGTGTGTTTGTGTGTTATTTAACCCAACATGTAACTGGTGCTGGCAGACCCTTTGTACATATGAATAGTAAATCACTTTTTCCTCCATCATCTGACCTGCTGCCAGACCAAACCACTGGCTCAGTCTTAGCTGTTCCTAATCCCATAGTCCTGACATGAGCCAGCCCCACTGATACCTAAAGTAGGGGAGTTGTCTTTTGTAATAATAATACATTGTCATTATAAGCCACATAAAAAGAGCAGTGTAAGTGCAACTGCATATATTTTGCACACTGTGACTGTTGCAGGTGGTGAGATCTTTCAGTAAGCTAAATCAGTTTAAAAGCTATTTGAGCTTCACTAGGTCTCAAATCAGAAACATATTTTATTTTGCTAGACTTTGTTAGAAAATTAATATCCAAATGATTATTTAAGTTATATTTGCCAATACTTTATATAAAAATACAAGTTTTTCTTTTCTTTTACACCATTTAATAGATGAGAGTTTAAATTTACTTACCAAAAAGTATACACATATGTACCAGTCAATGTAAAAAGAAAATCTAATAACACTATAAATGGATAACACATATCTCATCAATCTTCTAAACATCTTCTCATCTTCTTTCTAAACAGAAAATTGATCCATGTTTGCAGTATTAAAGTGGCGGGGTCGAAAGTGATATATTTTTCATGGGACTCCAGATCCCTGGTGGCAAAAGAGGTAAAATCAGTCGAAAAGTCCAAGGTGCTTGTCTCAAGGAGGGCTATCATTTAAAACAGGCTACATCAAAACACATGCGTGCAGCCTGGGACAAGCGGCCTGATAACAAGCAAGGAGCCTCATGGGAGATATTTTTCCTGCTTTACCAAACTGCTTTAAGTTACCTGGTTGAAGATTAAGTTTGCACTCTAACATGTAGTGGTGGTGTCTTTATGAACTTCTAACAGGAATGACGCATAATGCCTTCTCCTAAAGATTAAACGTGACCCTTCACATCAAGCTGCACAGAGACCCAATAAAAGGCATCATTTTTTATCGGGTTATATCTAACACATTATATTTTTACATTAATGCTTTCTGAGAGTTTTAAATGTTTTCTTAAAACACCAAAAGTCTGAATATTTGCAACAAATTGTACAAAGTTTATATCCTAGTTGTTTTGTTTAGTAACTTGAAACTAGTGAGCTTATTTGTGTAAACAAAAAAACGATGTGATCCTGTGAGAGGTTTGAACTAAAAATTATTTCAACTAACCAGTGAGAGCAGATTCTTTAATACTCAGTATATGTGGAACTTTACCAATGGTATTTATTTTACTGATATTTGGGCACAATTACATGCAAAAACAAATAAGCCACCTTTAGCAGTAATAACTTGAAGTAATTATTTTCTGTATGATGTTATCTGTCTGTCACATCATTGTGTTGATCTGTGGAACCCAGTACTTAAAATCTGGACTGGCTCTCTGTTTAAAAAGTCTAGTCTCTGATCCCATCGATACTACCCAGAAGGCAGTGCAGAGCTAGGATGGAGCCAAAGGGTGAAAGTATTCACCCAGTTCTGCCTATCTATCCTGCCTACTCTGATAAAGTATCTGGCGCTAGGTAGCCTTGCAGGTCCGGTATCCTACTTTACTTATCTTTACTTTAAAAAAAAAAAAAAGAATGTCCACAATTTAGACTTTTTGAATGCTGGATATTTTATTAGAGCAATTTAACAGGAGAAAAGCTCGCTTTTCATACTCATTTACCCATTTGCATCTCCCCTCTTTCACTTTTATCTTTAGACATCCAATCACCATTGTTGACATACAATCACATGACTTCATAATACAACAGAACCAGGAAACAATATTTGATTATATTTCACAGATACCACATTCTGCCATATAAACTATGCAAAACAATTACACAAATAAGCAAAGCAGTATTGTAGAAAACAATAACTGTTTTTACTAAACAGATAAGGATAAGGCTGCAAACACTAATACAAGCCACAAGGTGGAGACAACAGCTTGAGGAGACCTGAAGACATGGACGCAAAGCAGAGAGACAGATTATTACTACTACTAATAATAATAATTTACTTTTTTGTGTGTGAAGTATTTTTATTATATTTTTATTATATCGAATTGGCACATGTGACATGTTTGTATCTCCTTTAAATATTTAAATACTAGTTGAACTAACAGTTCTAAGCTTAATATTTGAAGAATGAATATACAAAAAAACTCACTTTAATTGAGAGAATATGAATCTTACCGTGAAAACATGTAACAGTTGTGTGAGCTGTTCAGTCCTGAGTGGTTTAAAACAATCTCAAGGTATTCGTCATCATCCCATGTAGTTTTTGTCTCTACTCGTTGCACAGTGAAAACTTCTGCTGGAGATAAGAGTATTTCATCCTGTTCTTGACCGCACACATAGTCTTTCAGGTTGACAAAGAAACAAGAAGTGAGATTTAAAATAGTATTCTCATTGACATCTTCAAGTCTCTTTAGCTCTTCATAGTCTGAATAAGCTAAAGTGAAACTTGTAAATCTCACTGTGGAGCCTTTCTGTGGTTTGTTTTTACCATCTTGAAAAACATAAAAGTTCTTGCACTCCTTTGGCTTCAGCAGCCTCATGGAGTCCATCAGCAGGAAATGAAGAGACTTGAAGTGGAAGTGGTTTTCATAGATGCTAACATTTCCACCCATTGTCTCTATTGCTTTGTTCAGTGCTAGTATGAAAGGCCGGTCTCCTTTAAGATAGACTGAAAGTGCAGCAGTATGCTCTTTTCTTCCTCCAGGGATCTGCTTTGAACACTCGTTACTTTTATTCCACGCTTTCTGAAATCCTTCACTGTTGCTTAGTTCTTGTTTTAACACGTCTGACTCGATGAACTTCTTCATGGCCTCTTCACGACATCCTTTGTACTGATCATCTACAACATCTGTGGTCTCTTGGACATCCAGTAATCTTGTATCCTTTGCGGCCACCTTTAATTGATATATCACATTTAAAAACCCATTTTTAAATTTATAATTTTTCTTACTTTCTAATATTTGTTTGAATCATGATTCTTACTTTGCTGCAGGCAGCTGTGAAAATTATTGCAGCAAGCACTTTTCTTCTGTTCTCCATTTTTTGGCCTCTTTGTCTTCTACAGAGTGCAAGAAAGCCCTGAAACATCAAATATGGATAGAGAAAGTTCGGTAACACTTTACATGGTCCAGAAACTTGGAAGTGACAAAATCTAAAAGACTGAAAAGACTAAAAACTTACCTGAAGCAGGGAGAACAGCAAGGGGCCCATCAAACTGCAGGAAAGCGAAAGCGAGGGTTTGAGGAACTGGAACAAGTTATCATACAGCGCAGCCCTTTAGTCTTTCCTGTGTAAGAAAGTAACTTTTTCTGCTTTCTGCTTTAGTGAGGAACATTACTGTGTTCCTGTAAGCTGGTTCAGGTTTAGCCCCTTTAAGCTCGACCATAAATTACCTTTATAGCTCTGATCTAGCATGGCTTCAGTATAGCTCATGGGGGCAAATACCTCAGTACCTCTTCAATGCAGACTTTATAAAAAATGAACTGGAGCCTCACAGATGAATATAAATAACATTTAGCCTTTACAGCGAATGTGTGTGTGTGTACGCAATCAGCTTTTATTTCATTGATGTGTAGCTTAATGATGAGTCTTACATTTAGACAGTAGTTATCGCCCTGCTGCTGGACCAACGATGTAATATGTTTTCAAATGTAACATAAGAAAAAAAACTTACTGATGTCTGAAATGTCTGTGTGATAAGATTAAATTCATTGCAAAGCATTTTACATTTTATATGCTCTTTATTTGTCAGAGAAATGGAAAGATACATCAAGGTGTGGTTTCTTTAGAAGCAGGAAGATAATCACTAACTCAGGAAACACACTGACGGCATGTTTATCGTAAAAATCCGCTCCCTGAAAAATCGTCACTGAGGAAAATGTAAAAAGTGAAGAAGTTCACTAATGTTGAGAGAAAGTTCAATAAAGAAATTGATGTTGAATTTAGTTTTATGGATAGAAAATTTCAGTTTTTCTATCACAGTCACAGTTCATTGATAGGCGGCATTGGCTATGCTCAGGAGCCTGAAAATTGAACCCAGTGTATTTTATGCCAATTTTCTGCACCCCTTTATAAATTTTTAATAAACGTTCTGATTTTCTATGTGCCACTCTGCCTTGTTCTTGGTCTTCTAGTGCCAGCCCATTGACAAAATCCTGGAAACACTCCGGCTGTGGGAGTTAAAGGTGCCACCATAAACTCCAGAATACCCAGTCTGAATCCAGCTGGGAAAAGCTGCAAGTTATTCCCATCTCTCGTTTCTTATCATCCTTTTAAAGGCACACAATGCTTAACAAGAATCATTGAAATTATAACGCATATTATCCATGAATTCAGCCTATAATTTTAACATATGACAGAAAAAGAAAACAATATTTGATTATATTTTGGTAGCCTAATGCAACACCTTATTTGGCAGATAGCACAATCTGCCAGACAAAGTACCAACAAACTGGAAGAATAAACCAAGCAGCATTGTAGATGATAAAATTCTGAATGATAACTGTTTTTGCTAAACAGTTAAAGAAAACAAAGATAAGGCCGCAAGCACTGACGCAAGCCACAGGGTGGAGACAACAGCTGGAGGAGACCTGAAGACATGGAAACAAAGTAGAGAAAGAGATTATTGTAACAGCCATCCATCCATTTTCTGCCACTTGTCCGGCCTGTAGATATGGAAATAAAACTGTAATAATAATAATTTACCTATCTCTCTCTGTGACAGTTATGAAAGGTTCCAGTTCTCCTGAGACCCTGAATTATAAGCAGAATATAATACTTTAAGCGATGTGCTGATGTGTGCGTTCGTTTACTAATGCTGTCAGCATTATCAGGCCAAACTATTCAAACCACATCCAAAACCCTACCAGGGTTTCATAATCCTGTTTGGGTTTTTTCACTTTTTATGTCACCTCATGCTTTCCAGCTGGGAAATCTTTAAGTTTATCAAAACCTCGAGTATAATCCAGTCATTTCTTTGTATTTCCAGCATTTGTTACATCCTGTAACGGAGCAACAGGCTGTTTTATACAACACCAATTATTTTCCCCGCTTGTTAGAAGTGTTCAGCTACATTTAAAAAAAAAAAAAAAATTAAATACCTATTGAGACAAATAGGTATATTTTACAATTTTCTTGTGTGTCTTGTGAAGTATTTTTCTTATATGTACTTTGGACAAGTTAAATGTTTGTATCTCCTTTGTGTGTTTAACACCACAATGAAAATTATTTAAGCGCTTCAAAGTTTAATGTTTGGGAAATGAACCTACAAAATATTTCACTTTAATTGAGATAATATGTGTCTTACCTCGGAAAGATAAAACAGTTGTGTGAGCTTTTCAGTCCTGAATGTTTCAAAACAATCTCAACATATTCTTCACCATCCTCCACAGTTTTGCTATTTACACCATCCACAGTGAAAACTTCTGCTGGAGATAAGAGAAATGTATCCCCTGCTTTAGTGCAAGTGTGTTCTTCCAGACTGACAAAGAAACAAGATTTGATATTTAAAATGATGTCCTCAAACAGATCATAATAATTGTTTGGCTCTTCATAGTTTGAATGAGCTAAGGTGAAACTTGGAAATCTCACTGTGGAGCCTTTCTGTGGTTGGTTTTGACCACTTAGCAGAACATAAAAGTTCTTGCACTCCTTTGGCTTCAGCAGCCTCATGGAGTCCATCAGCAGGAAATGAAGAGACTTGAAGTGGAAGTGGTTTTCATAGATGCTAACATTTCCACCCATTGTCTCTATTGCTTTGTTCAGTGTGTTTATGAAAGGCCGATCTCCTTTAAGATAGACTGAAAGTGCAGCACTATGCTCTTTTCTTCCTCCTGGAATCGGTTTTGAACACTCAATACTTTTATTCCACGCTTTCTGAAATCCTTCACTGTTGCTTAGTTCTTGTTTTAACACATCTGACTCAATGAACTTCTTCATGGCCTCATCACGGCATCCTTTGTACTGGTCATCCACAACATCTATGGTCTTTTGGACATCCAGTACTCTTGTATCCTGTGCAGTCACCTTTAATTGAGGTGTATCACATTAAAAACTCATTATTTAGTGAATAATTTTTCCAACCTTCTAAAAAAAAATTTGTATGAAACACATTTCTTACTTTGTAGCAGACAGCTCTGAAAATTATTGTAGCAAGAAGCACTTTTCTTCTGTACTCCATTTTTTTATCCACTTCTTTTTCTAGAGACTAAAAGAAAGCATTGCAGGATCAAATGTGGGTAGAAAAGAGTTCAACACTTTTCACAGTCAACTTGGATTTGGAAAGATGTAAATAATCTAATATTTGTTTGGTTTTCTTGGAATATGTCAACTTAAAAATGTAAATGTTGAAAAGACAGAAAATCACATACCTGGAGCAAGAACCAAAAAAAAAAACTTGTCTTAGCAACTCACAGAAAAGAGTCTATCCAATTTCTGAGCAGCGATGAGCACAACACACTCTGGGGAGTAAAATAAGTTATCCTACAATGCAGCTCTACAGTTTTTCCTGTAGAAGATTGTAACTTGTCACTGTGGGAAATGGTGTCCCCTTATTGGCTCTGCCTCAGATACTGAGTTCCTGTAAGCTCTTTTTTTTTTTTTTTTTTTTTTTTTTGGCGTAACTGGTGAGGCCAAGTCCCACAGTACTTCTTCAATGTAGACTTTTTCTAAAATTGAAAAAAAAAAAAAAAAACTCAAGCAGTTCCATGCCCACTTTTAAATTTTGTACTTTTTCCCAAAGAAAGGGGTTAACTACAAAATTGCATTTGTTACTGTTTGCTAAAGCTAAAGCTCAGGTCGGCAGAGCACTTTGACAGCACTTTTTATTACTAAACTCTACAATTTGGGCTACTATTAGGTGGATTCACGCAATGTCAGGTTTAGAAGACAGTCAGTGAATGGTAATTTTGTTGAATAATAGTATTAGTAATGATGAAAAGATGATAACTAAATTAAAACTAATTCACGAGGACAAAAACTATGATGAAATGTAATGACACTTAAAAATTAAATAAAATTGTTCTGGAGAGATAAGATCCTATTATAACTAATGAAGTTGTGTAGAAAGGCAGGATGAGTTTGGAAGTCCTTGTGTAGTAAATTTAGACAAAAACATTTTGATCCACCCAGGGTGGGGAGGGAGGTTCAGCTGACTAAACCTACTGTAATCTTAGTAAACTAAAATTAGACTAAAGCTAAAAAAAAAAAAAAATTTTTTTAAAAAAGCTGTTTCTATAGCTATAATAAAACAAAGTAAAGTGATTTCAGGATTGGTGGTCCAGACAGGACTTCAATTCAGATGTTTAAAGTTGTGAATAAGCAAACAAAGACATGTTTGGTGTACTCGATTTAACATGCCTCCAGAGCTTTTAAAAAGGTCCCAACAAGTGATAATCAAACAGTTGCTCCCCGCATGAGGTGGAAACCTGTGTCTGTCTGTGTGTGTTGTGTGTCTGTGAGAGAGAGGCTTTTGTATCACTTAATTATAAGTGTTACATTTAGGCAGTCATTACTGCCCTGCTACAAACCTGTTGGACTTTGTAAATGTAACACAAGGAAAAACAAATGTATTTGTCTATTTGTGTGATCAGATTATATTAATTGCAAAGCTATTTCAATTTTCCATGTTGTTTATTTGACCGGGAAACAGAAATTCCTGGTGTCTTTAGAAGCAGGAACATTTGCTGCAAGTTATTCCCATCTCTCATTTCTTATCATCCTTTTAAAGGCGCACAATACTTGACAAGAAATAAAGTTTGCAATATATTTTTCTAACATGCATAAAAACAAGATGTAAATTGAGTCTATAATTCATAACATATGATAGAAGCAAAAAACAAAATTGCACAATACTTTGGCAGCCTGTTGTAACACCATATTTGGCACATACCACAATTTGGCAAATAAAGTGCCAAACAATTATATGAATAATCAAAGTAGAATTGTAAATACACTCAACAAAAATATAAACGCAACACCTTTGTTACTGCTCCCATTCCCCATGGGATGGACGTAGAGACCTAAAATTCATTCCAGATACACAATATAACCATCCCTCCCAAACAGTGGTCACAAATCAGTCCAAATGTGTGGTAGTGGGCACATCTGCTATATTGAGATAATCCATCCCACCTCACAGGTGTGCCACATCAGGATGCTGATCTGACATCATGAGTAGTGCACAGGTGTACCTCAGACTGCCCACAACAAAAGGCCACCCTGGAATGTGCAGTTTTGTCTCACAGCAAAATGCCACAAGCAATGAGGGAGCGTGCAATTGGCATGCTGACAGCAGGAATGTCAACCAGATCTGTCGCCCGTGCATTGAATGTTCATTTCTCAACCATAAGCCGTCTCCACAGGCGTTTCAGAGAATATGGCAGCACATCCAACCGGCCTCACAACCGCAGACCTCGTGTAACCACACCAGCCCAGGACCTCCACATCCAGTCTCTGACCTGATGACCTTAGAGATCGGGAACCGGAATGTGGTTTCAGCAGGTCAAATATGTACTGGGGCTCTTGAACATGTAGGGCCCTAAAGGTTAGAACTAAAATTTTTAAAAGAAATGTAAACCTTACAGGCAATCAGTGAAGGGAGGCTAAAACTGGAGTAATATGAGATCTTTTGTTGGTGCCTGTTAAGAGTCTTCCTGCAGCATTCTTCACAGTCTGAAGACTATTTAAAGCTGATTTCTTAAAACAAGTAAAAAGACCACTGCAATAATCCAAATGGGAAGGGGAAAAAAAGCATGAATAATCATCTCAAGTTCAGCCTTTGACACCATTAGTCTGAGTTTTGAAACATTCCTTGGATGATAAAAACAGTTCTGGACCCGCTGTTTGGAATGTTGCTCAAGGGAAATGGAGCTGTCAAATATGGCACCAAGGTTTCTAAGGCTCAATTTAGCAGAAGGCTCTAAGCTGATATGCTGCCTAATTTCTGAAATCATATTGTTTGGAGCAATAATTAAAGTTTGTTTTATCACAGTTTAGCCGGAGTAAGTTGTCGTTTAACCATTGCTTGATTTCTGTCAGGCAATTACTTAAACTAGACAAATTATAAAGCTCAGAGACTTTAAAAGAACAGTATAACTGAATGTAATCTGCGTAGAGATGATAGGACATATTATTGCAGCTCCAATTTAATTTGGCCTAGGTGGAATAGATATAAAGCAAAAAGAGAATTGGACCCAGGACAGATCCCTGAGGCACCCCACAAAACAAAACTGTTGATTTGGATCACTTGATTCATACAAACAGTAAAAGATCTTTCAGATAAGTATGACGTGAATCATTTTGACATTGTATGAATAATTGCAGCAATATTATAGATGATAAAACCCAGAAAACTCTGAATGATAACTGTTTTTGCTAAACAGCTAAAAAACAAAACAAAGATAAGGCCAAAAGCACTGATACAAGCCACAGGGTGGAGACAACAGCCGGAGGAGACCTAAGGACATGGAAACAAAGCAGAGAGGGGAATTATTGTAATATTCATACATGCACACATTTTCTGTGTGTATGTATGAATATTACAAGCACAAGTTATAACAGATGCGACAAACATTTTATTATATGCACTTACATCTAAAATTAAACATTTTTTAAAAATATTTATATCTTTAAAAGTATTTTGAAGTTTGACTTTACATTTCGATACTAAACATTTGTAAAACTAACATGGAAATTGTCAAACTTTTTCCACTTTAATTGAGAGACTGTGACTCTTACCGTGAAAAGATGTAGCAGTTGTGAGAGCTTTTAAGCCCCGAATGTTTCAAAATAATTTCTACATATTGAGAATCATCATCTGCCTCCACAACTTTGCTATTTATGTCCTCCACAGTGAAAACTTCTGCTGGAGATAAGAGTATTTCATCCTGTTCTAGACCGCACACATAGTCTTTCAGGTTGACAAAGAAACAAGAAGTGAGATTTAAAACGACCTCCTCATACAGATCAGTTTCACTTTTTAGCTCTTCATAATCTGAATAAGCTGAGGTGAAACTTGGAAATCTCACTGTGGAGCCTTTCTGTGGTTGGTTTTGACCACTTAGCAGAACATAAAAGTTCTTGCACTCCTTTGGCTTCAGCAGCCTCATGGAGTCCATCAGCAGGAAATGAAGAGACTTGAAGTTGAAGTGGTTTTCATAGATGCTAACATTTCCACCCATTGTCTCTATTGCTTTGTTCAGTCTTTGTAATAAATTGTGATCCCCATTAACATAGAGTGAAAGTGCAGCACTATGCTCTTTTCTTCCTCCAGGAATCCTCTTTGAACACTCGATACTTTTATTCCACGCTTTCTGAAATCCTTCACTGTTATTTAGCTCTCGTTTTAACACATCTGACTCGATGAACCTCTTCATGGCCTCTTCACCACATCCTTTGTACTGGTCATCTACAACATTTGTGTTATTTAGAAAATCCAGTAGCCTTGTTTCCTGTGCGGTCACCTTTAATTGAGATTTATCACATTTAAAAAACACATTTTTAAGTGAAGAATGTTTTAACCTTCTAATATTTGTTTGTACAAAACTTAATTCTTACTTTGTTGCAGGCAACTGTGAAAATTATTGCAACAACAAGCACTTTTCTTCTGTTCTCCATTTTTTGTCTTCTTGTTCTTCTACCAACTGAAAGAAAGCACTGCAGGATCAAATGTGGTCAAAAAACAGCTCTGTGACATTTTACATACGAAGGACATACACCAAGTCTGGACTGGATACTACAGTTCTCTGTATTTGGGTCTTGAACACTCATCTCTCCATTGCATTCAAAATTCAAAATGTTGCTGCAAGTCATTTAACAGGTATTAAAGGGACGATTACGTCACTCATGTACGTAGTCTTGATTACATAGCTTAATTTTTTACCTTGGCTTTTAAGTTCAGTTTGAGTCCCATCGGGGGTTATTTTATGTTGTGATGCCTTAGTTTTACTTTGTTTTGAGTTTTAATTCATTGTCTTCATTTTATTGGTTTTACTATTGAAATGTGCCATCCAAATAATATTAAAATTGACATTGACACAGTCCAGTAAATTTGAATCTGGCAAGATTTAAATTAACAATTTCTTTTCTACCTCCTGGAATTCAGCAAGTTAAAAAATTTAAATGTTGAAAAGACTGGGTACATACTTGAAGCAAGGAGATTGAACTCATATTAGCAACTGCTGGGAACCAATAAGAACAACAGCCTGGGAAGTGAGACAAGTTATTTTACAATGAATTCCTTAGTCTCAGTCTAGTTCCCAAAAGCTTGTTCAGATTTGTTGCACAATGATTTATAACCAGAGTAACACTTAGATAATTTAGCCACTTTAAGCCCAGCCCAGTGATAGCATATCTTTGTATCTCTGTTCTAACATGATTTTAAATACCTCAGTGCTTCTTCAGTGCAGTTTTTGCCTAAAGTAAACAGGAGGCACCAGCAATCATAGTTGGAAAATCTGGGTATC